ATTTAAATAAAATCTGTTTTAACGTTCTTAAACTTATTTAGTTCTACGCTGGTTTCTGAGTATCGAAGTAAAGAATTTATGAATAAACACCATAATGCAATAAATATTAGATTCTTTCTTTAAAAGGTTTAGCAAATAAAATATAATATTGCTGTATTAATTTAAAAATCTAAACTTAAAATTTGTCTAATTAGTTTAATATGTTGATTTTTGAATTTTTATAACTATGATAATCAATTCTAATGAAAAATTTATTTTGATTTAAGACTTCTACTAAGGATCAACAAGCATTCTAGAAATCAAATAGGTTAAAAAAGTTTGAAATCAAAACAAATAAGCCTTTTTCTTTTTTAAACATAATCTTCAAATATCTATTATTTAAACTTTTGATTTTCATATTGTTAAAATTATCTGTTCCAATATATCAAAAACAATGAAAATTCATTTCCTTCATAAAAGAGTAACGTATAATTGATAATTTTTTTAACCCATTTTAGTTAAAATTTTTATACGAATGTTTTTTATTTAACAACAATTTTTGGTAATAGTATGTATTTAAGTAATTAAATATAAGATGGTTTAATTTATTTTTGTAATGAACATAGTGAATTATATCTTATTATAATATATATATATATTTAAATTGTGTATTAGTATTGAATTAATAATAAAATAATGAATTAAGACTCATAATTTTAATAGAAATAGGATTTTAAATGTAAAGATCATCCTGAAAAGCCTGCACTTTTTTGGTGTAAATCAATTGATTGCAACGAGAATAGAATTTTCTGTCTCATTTGTCAAAAGTAGAATAAACATATTAAACATTATAATGGAGATGTTTTTAGTATTGATAAATTAAATGAATTTTTAATTGAAAAATTAAAATCATCTAAAGGTTTCATTTCAGAATGTGAACTTTAAATGCAATCAACAATTAAATCATATAATAAACTCATTTCTGGTTTATAATATAAATTCTGTGGATTAGAAAATAAAATAAATTAATTTGAAGTTTATTAAAAATAATAAGTTCTTGATTCTTTGATTAGATAAGATGAATTTATGAATTATTTGAAACATAATCTTGAGGGAATTTAATAAAAATTTTAGAAAACCATAGATGATCTTTTTATTAAATTAGAATTACATCTAATTTAATATTAAATAACTGATTAATAGATTAAATTGAATCAAAATGAATATCAAAAAGGTTATTATTCATATTTATATTCTTTTAGGTATATCTTTAAATATCAAAAATGAATAAAATGAAGCAAATTTAAATATTTGATAAATTATTATTAATTGAACCATATAATATAGAAATTATGTATTAAAAAGGTTAATAATTATTATTAATTTAAGCAAATTCATTAATTTAATTAAATAAGTTATAGGATGCATAATAAATCTACTAAGAAATAATTTCAATTAATCCAAAACATGAAATATCTTTATAAAAATTGGGTATTTTGATAATTATAATATTAAGGTGATATCTTATTAAATTAAAAGTTTTATTTGTAAGCTTAACAGTATTATGAAAAATTTATTTCAATAAATTTAAATAATTCAATAGTCTAATTTGGAATAGGTTTTATTTTTATTAATTATCTTAAGGGGAATGTTTAAGATAAACTTATTAATATAATCATGCTTTATAATACTATCTAAAAGCCATTTAATTAGATTCATCTAATAAAGAATTTTTTTATTATTATGGTAAAATTTCAATCTTTAANATATATATATATTTAAATTGTGTATTAGTATTGAATTAATAATAAAATAATGAATTAAGACTCATAATTTTAATAGAAATAGGATTTTAAATGTAAAGATCATCCTGAAAAGCCTGCACTTTTTTGGTGTAAATCAATTGATTGCAACGAGAATAGAATTTTCTGTCTCATTTGTCAAAAGTAGAATAAACATATTAAACATTATAATGGAGATGTTTTTAGTATTGATAAATTAAATGAATTTTTAATTGAAAAATTAAAATCATCTAAAGGTTTCATTTCAGAATGTGAACTTTAAATGCAATCAACAATTAAATCATATAATAAACTCATTTCTGGTTTATAATATAAATTCTGTGGATTAGAAAATAAAATAAATTAATTTGAAGTTTATTAAAAATAATAAGTTCTTGATTCTTTGATTAGATAAGATGAATTTATGAATTATTTGAAACATAATCTTGAGGGAATTTAATAAAAATTTTAGAAAACCATAGATGATCTTTTTATTAAATTAGAATTACATCTAATTTAATATTAAATAACTGATTAATAGATTAAATTGAATCAAAATGAATATCAAAAAGGTTATTATTCATATTTATATTCTTTTAGGTATATCTTTAAATATCAAAAATGAATAAAATGAAGCAAATTTAAATATTTGATAAATTATTATTAATTGAACCATATAATATAGAAATTATGTATTAAAAAGGTTAATAATTATTATTAATTTAAGCAAATTCATTAATTTAATTAAATAAGTTATAGGATGCATAATAAATCTACTAAGAAATAATTTCAATTAATCCAAAACATGAAATATCTTTATAAAAATTGGGTATTTTGATAATTATAATATTAAGGTGATATCTTATTAAATTAAAAGTTTTATTTGTAAGCTTAACAGTATTATGAAAAATTTATTTCAATAAATTTAAATAATTCAATAGTCTAATTTGGAATAGGTTTTATTTTTATTAATTATCTTAAGGGGAATGTTTAAGATAAACTTATTAATATAATCATGCTTTATAATACTATCTAAAAGCCATTTAATTAGATTCATCTAATAAAGAATTTTTTTATTATTATGGTAAAATTTCAATCTTTAAATTATTAAGGAGATTGTCTAAGTTCATTATAAAGATATCAAGAGGCTATTGATATATATGATTAAGTATTAATCAAAGATCAAAATCATGTAGATGCAATTGCAGGAAAAGGTATCAAAATAATATATTAAATATTTAAAGGAATATGTCTATTATAAATAGAGTACTTTATAATTATTGGATATTTAGGTAGGATTGATGAAGCATAAATAAATATATAAAAGTCATTAAATTGAAAAACAGTTGTTTATTAGGATTATATGGATATGGTAAAATTTGAGTGGAATATGTTAGGAATTTATTTATTGTTTATTGATTAAAAAGAAGAAGCTATTTAATATTTTGATCAAGCTTTGGCCATAAATCCATAACATGTGAATTCATTATGGGGAAAAGGTAATTTGAATGAAACTTAAATAAAGGTGTATGCTTAAGATTAATGAATCAATTCGAATAAGCACTAGAATGGTACGAAAAAGCTTTGGCCATAGATCCATAGAATGTGTATTCATTATTTGGAAAAGGTAATTTGAATGAAACTTAAATAAAGGTGTATGCTTAAGATTAATGAATCAATTCGAATAAGCACTAGAATGGTACGAAAAAGCTTTGGCCATAGATTCATAACATGTGAATTCATTATATGGAAAAGGTAATTTGAATGAAACTTAATTAAAGGTGATTGCCTAAGATTAATGAATCAATTAGAATAAGCACTAGAATGGTACGAAAAAGCTTTGGCCATAAATAGTTAGCATGCGTATTCATTATATGAAAAAGGTCATCTTAATTTATTATCTTTTAGCTTTTATTTTATTAGAATATAACTATTACCAAAATGCTTATTCATTGTTTAATTAAGCAATATAAATCATGCCACATAAATAAATAAATGATGAATTTTTAGGTAATTCTTTTAACATTATTAGCCTAATTTTGCCTAAGATCATGATAATAATGAAAAATCAGTAAATATGCATTCAATTTTATAATTTCTTTAATTTCAAACTAATTCTAATTTTTTATTCAATTTTCAATCTTTCTATTTTTCTTTTTTACTATATACACAATTCGATTTTGAATATATTTGTTTTTTTGAAAGAATATTACTTCTCAATTGGCTAATATTTTAAATAGTTATCTTTTAAATTAATTTAATTTTTTATAATCAATTAAAGAGATTCTTAATCCATAATTATCCTTATAATTATTTCAAATGTGAAAAATTAATGTCCCATAAAACTTAATTTATAATCATCTATAAATCTTATCACAAATTTTATTATATTAGAATTATTATTAATTTAAATTATTTTTTTTTTAAATAATGAATAATAACTATTTAGTATAAATCAATCATTATTATAGTTTATATAAAATTTTAGTCTTCTAATAATCAATTATTTATTAAAATTATAAAAATATTATAACATTAAGAAATTCTTAAAATATACTGATATATTTATTATAATTAGATAAGGTATAATCAAAAAAATTCTAATCATTAAATAATATTTAACATTTTAATTTCAAATTATTATTATTTTTGTCTCTGATTGAGTTTTTAGCTATATTTTTTTTTTTTACTATTATAATGGATGATTTCTTCACATATTTAAACTAGAAGTTATTAAGATAAAAATAATTGTTTCCTTCGAGTAATATTTCATAATTTTAATAAATGAAATAGATTTATCTCATACTTAAAATTATTACTGAAACGCTTCAATATTATTCTCATTTAATTGAGATTTTTTTTTAAAGATTTAGGATTTTAAGAACCTCATTAAAAATTGAAAATCTATCATTTAAAAAATATAATTTATTTAGAGAAAATTAGAATTTTTTAAAATATTATAGAACGTTAACAATAGTATCTAATTATTTGTAAAGTAATACTATTTTTGATGAAGAGTTTGATTCTCCAAAGGCCTTACAGTCGACAATCAAAAGAAATTGCAAGAAATCAGACAAAAAGTATAGTGTTGAGAAATGGTATTGTACCTAAATAAGTTTTATCCTTATTATCCGTTTTTTTAAAATCCTATTTCATTATAAGCATTTATTCGAAATAAACAAATATAAAATTAAGAAGTAGTTTATCTTTATATCTTACTTATTTTTTAGTATTTGAGGGAAATTATCATTGACTTTCTTAATGCATATTGGAATTCAAGAGTTATCTGAGGATATAGAATTATTATCTTAGTTGAGTTGAAAGAAAGATCAATATATTATAAATATTATAAAAATTATAAAATTTATAAAAATAATCTCTAATATCCATACTATATATGATAAAAATATATCAGAATAAAAATTAAACTATTTATAACGAAACTTTTTACTATAGTAATATATAAATTCTATAACCTTTTTATTAAACTTAATAAGAACTTTCACCTATATATGTCCCTAAAAATATGTATCATTAAGCATTCAATTTCTTAGATTATTGAATAATTCAAACAATACAATTAATTTTTCTATAATTATCAAATTGATAAATGCATGACAATTAGATGAATTAATAAATTTTGAATGTACAAATTTTTAACAATATTTGATCATTTATTTTTTTTTTGTATAATTTAGAAATTTATTAATTAATTTTAATGATACATTAATATTTCTTTTGTTCAATTTTACAAGCCAAAAATTAACGATAATAGTTAATATTAAAATTTGAAAGTATAATTTAAATAATTATTTTGATATTTGAATAATTATATTTAGTAGAATATCGTTATATTGCTAATAATAATCAGAAATTTGATCAAAAATAACTTACTGTAATTATTCAATCTATCAGACTAATAATATTCTTTTTTTAAACTACATGAATCGCTCTTAATAATTAAAAATTATCATAAGGTTCACATTGATAAAACTCTCTTTTAATACTTTCTGAATTTTTTCAATGAGTATAAATATCTAAAAATTAATAATTAAAAATATCAAAATATCTCTTTTTTATCATTTTACTTTAATAATTTGTACAGTTATCCAGAAATATCGTTAATTTTCATTTTTTGTAGAATTTGGTTGCACTTTGTAATTAGCTTTTCTATTAATTGCCCAAACAAAAATTTATAAACATATCTTATACATGCATGAAACATCTAAAAGTCATTTTAACCTATTTCCCTAAAGTTAATATTATCATTCGAAACAAGTCCTTACTTTAATACTCAAGACTTTTGGATTCTTGTAGATCATGATAATGAGAATATTAACAGATATTTTAATTAGATTCAATTAATATTATAATAATGGTAGGAACATAAAAATAGTTTGCATAAGTAATAAATAAGATTTAATTCAATATACTTAACTAATAAATATGTATTCCTATACAAATTAGATTTTACTTTTAGTCCCATTACTAATTTTTTTATTAAAAGTATTTAGATTCTATTTCAAAATTTAATATTAGATTATTTTAATTATATAAAATATTTAATATATTATAAAATTTTAATTATATTTTCAAATGGACATAAATGAATTTAATAACAATATTGAGATCATTAATATATGATTGAAATTTTTTAAACATTAAAGAAATTTTTCATTATATAATTTTTAATAAACCTTATAAATTTATTATTCATTTTGATTTTATAGAATTTGGTTTCTTAAATACATCCTCACATTATTCTATATATAAATATTATAAAAATACTTTTTCTTGTTTGAACCCATTCATCATTAGGCTTAATTTTTAATGCTTTATCAAAAATTGATAATGCCTCTGAATACTTTTTTGTTTCTTGTAGGCAAGCACCTTAATATATTTATATATATGAATACCTTTTTATATAAGTGAAATATAATTATTAGGATTAATACTCAAAGCATTATTAAATTATAACAAGGCTTAATCATATTGTTTAAGCATTCTTAATATTTCACCTAATTATGACAACTTTTTACCTTTGCAAGCTAAAGAATTGACATGTTTCGAATCATGCTTTAATGCAAAGTCAACCCATTGTTCAGCTAAAATAAACTAACCCTAAGCCCTTAAACAATCAGCTATTAATATTCATCAAATTCTACCTTTACAAAATAGAGCATTTACTGATTTAGAATCATAGGCCAAAATCTTTTCAGCTATTACTATCGATTCTTTATATTTTCCCAAAGCTCTTAAATTATCAGCTAAGAATTAATAATTAAATTACCTTTATAGTTTAAAATATTAATGTTATTTGGATCTTATTCAAGAACTTTTTCAACCCAAATATTTGATTCTTCATGTTTTTCTGTAGAATGTAAGAGTTAAGCTAAATTAAATTATCAATTATTTTATACCTTTTTATTCAATAACAATTAAATTATTACGATCAATTACTAAATATTTATCTATATAGATGAGTGCATCAGAATATTATCCTAATAATCTTAAACAATTGGCTAAATATAACAATAGAGTACCTTTACAAAGAATAGTCTCAGCATGTTCTGGATTAATTTTTAAAAGTGCATCAGTCTATTCTAGAGCTTCATTAAAACGACCAAGTTTAAATAAGGTATTAGCTAAATGAATATAATTGAATTACCTTTAATATATAAAGTAGGAACATGATTGGGATCAATTTCTAGAACCAAATCAGCACAAATAAGAGTCTCTTTATTTTTATTTTATAAATGTAAACACTACGCTTATAATTTATTATAAATTTGGATACTTTTACAAATTAGTATATCTTTGTTCTAAAAATTAATTTCTAAAACCTTATCAGCTTACTTAGATGCTTCTACATGTTAACCCATTTCTAATAATACATTAACTTAGAATATAATGTTATATATACCTCTACAACTAATAACTTACTCATTATTTGGATCTAATGCTAATACTTTATTAATATAATCTAATGCCTAATTGTACTCTTTAAGTTTATATAAACATTGTGCTTAAGTTAAATGATGAAATATACTTTTGCAACTTAAAATATCTATATGATTTGGATTTATATCTAATATTTTATCACAACATAACAAAGCATCTTAATACCTTTTTAATTATCTTAAACAATCAGCTAAAAATATTTAAATTTCATTTACCTTTACAACATAAGGAATTTAGATTATTTGGATCTAATTCTAAAATCTAATCAGATAGTGCAATTGAATCATCAATTTTTCCAAGCCAATATATGCATTAAACTAATATAAAATAATTTAAAACGTTTGCAATCTAATGTATTTATATGTTTTGGCTCTATTAACAAGGCTTTTTCTACTAACTCTAGTGATTACTAATATTACCCCATCAATTTTAATTAATTAGCTATGAAATATTTTTAGATTGTACCTTTCTAACGTATAATATTAATTGATTTTGGATTTGCTACAACAGCTTTCTCTGACCAAATGGCAGCTTCATCATATTAACTAAGTAATCGTAAACAACTTGCTAAATATATATATTATTTTAATGATACCTTTACAATGTAAACTTCTCGTATGGTCAGGATTTAAAGCCAATACCTTATCGGACCAAACAATTGCATCTTTGTAATTCCCAAGCAATCTTAGATTATCAGCTAAAATATGATATTAAATTTTCAACCTTTACAATACAATGTATCTAAATTATTAGGATCTATTTCCAAAACTTAATCAGCCCAGCGTATGGCTTCTTGAAATTGATCTAGTAAATATAAACTTTAAGCTTAGATATTATAAGAAAACTAACTTTTTAATAATAACAATTCTAAATTTTTAGGATCTTTCTCTAATAATTTATCTATACAAATTAAGGCATCCTTATGATTACCTTCTTATTTTAAGCTATTTGCTTAAGGTTAATATTATTTTACCTTTATAAAATAAAGCAGTTTGATTATTATAGTCAATACTCAATACTCTGTCAGCATAAGTTTCTACTTTTTTATATTTTTTACGCATAAATAAACTCATGGCTTATAATATTTTAAACAATACTTTTAAAAATTAAAGCATTTAGATGATTAGGAATCTTAGTTAAAATTTTACCAGCTAATTTAATAGCTTTATGATACTTTCCAAGAGAATATAAAATTTCAGCTAAAAAATAGTTGGATAATAATAATACTTTTGCAATCCAAAGCATCTATATTGTTAGAATCTTATACCAATACCTTGTCTATAATTTTTAATGCTTCATTTGATTTTTTTTGTATAAATAAGATTTTTGCTATGATTTCAAAATTGATTTACCTTTAACACAAATAAGATTGATCTGACTTGAATCTACACTTACAATTTTATCTATCATTTGAATTGCTTCTTCATGTTTTTCGAGACCAAATAAACTTTAAACTTTTATTTATTTATTACTTTTACTTTTACAATACAATATCTTAGAATTGTTTGGATTTTCAACCAAAGTATTTTCAGCACATTCTAAAGCCTCTTAACATTTACCAATCATAATTAAACTATACACTATTGAAATTGAACTTATAATTACTTTTACAAAATAAGGTATTTATGTTTTTGGGATCTAAATTTAAAACCACATCTGCTAATTAAATAGATTAATAATATTGTCTAAGTTCTCTTAAGCAATTTACTATCAATTACCATATTCAATTACCTTTATTATTCAAAGAATTTAAATGATTGGAATTAATATATAATACTTTTTCTATAACATCCAAAGCTTCTTTGTATTTTCCAAGTTTACATAAACAATAAACTAAAATATTAATAAATTCTTACTTTTACAATCTAAAACTTTAATATGATTAGGTTCTATTTCAAGTACTTTATCAGCCCAAACTATAGCTTCATCATATTTTTCTATTAACCTTAGACTATATGCTAAAAATTATGATGAATGTACATTTAAGATAAAATGCTTTAGAATTACTAGGATTTAAAACTAATGATTAATTAAACATTTCAATAGCTTCTTTAAACATTTATTTTTCAGTTAACTTCTAACCTACCAAATTTTGTAATTAAATAAATACCCTTAACACAAAGTTCTAATGATTATTGAATATCTTTAAGATTAGAAACAATATTTTTATCCCTTGATAAACTATTTTTATCATCTAATCTATAACTTTTTTCCTTTGACAAACTCTTTTTTTTAACTACCCTTTTGTTTTTTTAGCTTGTTTCACTAAATTTATCACTTGATCTACTTATTTTATCACTTAATCCACTTTCTTTTAAGATTACTTCTTAATATTTATCTTCACTTAATCTACTAATCTTTTCACTTGATTCACTATTTATTTCTTTATTTAATTTTCTATTTTTTTCTTCTTTTACAATCAACTTATTTAAGAGATTTATAATTTATTGATTAAATATTTATCCATTTTCTTAGATTATTTTAATAGTCTCTTCTTTAAATTCATTGTATTTTAACATTTAACTAATAACATCATTTATTTCATTTAAGCCTATATTTTCAATTCTCTACTAATTTAATACATATTTTTTTTTTATTCCTTCTTTTAAATTTAAAAAATTCTATAGAATATTATCTATATATTTAGATAATTCATTCATTAGGTTTTCATAATCTGTTTCAAATTTTTCTATTTATTCAATAAATTATGGAATATCTATCCAATCTTATAAATGAGTTGAATGATGTTTATTTTAAACACATTTCATACAAAATAGTCTAAATTCTGTACATTATTCATTTAGACATATCATTTTAACATTACTCTTATGTTCAACTATTGAGCAAGGTAATTCTAAACTCTTTTCTGTAATCATTCTAAATAATTATTAGTATTCTCAAATAAAATTATTTTATTAATAAATCATAACCATTGCTTGACAACAACTACTTTTTATCCGAAATTCATAAAATACTTTTTAAAACACATTTCAACTAACTAAATTATGAGATAATTCACTATCTATATAATTATTAAATATTTATAAGAAAATTTTAAGTAGTTTATATTTTTCGATCAACAAATATAATTTGATTATATTCTAATACGACATTTGAATATTATAGAATTTAAGTAAATCATCTAATAAATTTAAGATTTATAGTAGTAAAATCTTAGAAAAACTTGTAAAAATTGTAATTTATTTATTAAGTTGAAATACTCTAATATATAATTGTTAGAGTTTTGTTGAATTAAGGAGTTATGATATTTAAGTTTAATAAACTGTTGAAATTATAATAAAAGAATTCAAGAATATTGAATAATATTATTTTTAGTTTTTAATGTAATTATTGTTGTTTAATATAAAAATTTAGGCTAAAACAAGTTAATTTTAGATCTATAGAAAATTAAGTATATAATACTTAAATAAGATAAATTATCATAATCTTTTTCATCAAGCAAATAATTCATAAAAGCGAAAATTTATTTGGTTTCTTTTATAATCTTAATTAAGATGTTCTTCTATTTTATATAAAATTATTATATTTAATATACTAATTAAGTCACATTATAAATAATATTTAATACAATTAAATCAAATCAAATCTAAATATATGATTTAAGTGATATAATTAACAAAATCTCAATTTTCTAATGTCTACTTTCTCAATTATTATTTGTATTTATATCTATAATAAGAATCTATGTTAAATTATTGCATTTAAAATAAAAAATCAAATGAAAATCTTAAAATTCATAAAAGAAATGGATGTATTTGGAGCATTACTATTTTAAAAAGTTGATTAAACTTCTCAGATTCATAAAAGTGTATTAGGAGGTTTTATATCAATATTACTATTTTCATCAAGCTTGGCCTATACAATTTTTGAATTCTATCAGTGGAATACATATTAATTAAGTCCAAAAATATCTACATCTAATTATGCATCTGATTTTGAATTGTTAGATTTGAAATATGATATTGTAAAATTTCATTTCTGGAAAGATTAGAGAAGTACAATAGATCCATTTGAGAATAAAATACTAATACCTATGATTAGTTATACATAGAATTATACAATAGTTGAAACCCATGTTTTAAATTTATCCAATGAAACAAGTTATCAAGGAAATTATTATATAATACCAGAGATGAGGATAGGATTTACAAATATTAAAGGATAAATACGAACAACATCTGAAATGTTTATATTTTTTGTAAAATGTCAATAAGAATTACTAAAAGAAAATGAATAATGTGCATCTTAAGAAATGGTTGATTAATTTTTTAGTTAACCATTAAATACGATTTCAATTTAATTACATTATAAATAAATAGACTCTAAAGATGCTTCAATTTCATAAAGTATCCAAGAATTATTGATTTAAGTGGAGAGAGAAAGTTGCTATACATTGAATACTTATCTTTAGACAAATCGATATTAAGTAAAAAATTCATTTCTTTTTGGATAAGCTTAATAGTATGAATTTGTTAATGGTGTAGAAATACAACCATAAACTAATTCTTTATCTTATTGTCAATAAGCTTTTGGATATGAAACTTATGCTATATTTTTTATCGAGATGAATGGAAATTAAATTAAAACTATTATTGAATATCCAAATTTAGGTGATGTTTTAGCTAATATTGGATCTATAATTTAAGTTTTATTTATGACACGATTCATAATAATTTAAATAAATTCTTATTTATAACATTAATAGGTTATCCATTAATTAATTTCATTTTATTATCCACAATTTTCAAATATAAAAATATTCAAAAATTGGAGAGGTAGAATTTGTAAAGTGTGTTTAAAAAATTAAGAATTAGATATCTAAGAATTTCTTTTATTTTACAATAATATAACAAAGTAAATGGAATAAAAATTAACATTAATGAATATATTATATGAAATCTCAAGACTTTATTTATTAATAAGATCAATTAAATCTAGAGATGAGATCAATAGATGTCATTAAATAGGAATTCCATTAAAATTAAGAAATTAATCAATTAATAATGAATTAGATTATTCACCAGGATTTGTGTTTAGAAATCAAGGCTGTATCACAACTTCTCCAACATCTTCGAAAGCAAAAATTGAGAGTTTATCATTAAATAGTTTTGATGTGAATATTTTATCTTTAAATAAAAGTAAATAGTAAAGACAAGATAATCTCACAGAAGAGCTCTCTTTTGAAGAACATAGATTTTATGATTTAAATAAAATATTATGGTGAAAAAGTAAATATATATATAAATATTTATAAATATAAATTAATTTATTATTATTTATATTAGATTCTCATCATAATATGATGATTTAAATAATAGAATATACAAAAATTGGTCATTTAACTTTTTATATATATTAGTTTTCTAATTAAAAATATGATAATAAAATGATAATATAGTTTAGTATTTAATTTTTATTAAAAATTTTTTACTCTTAAACCAAAGAATAAGAATAATTATACGAAATGCTTATTGTAATTTAATTACAAAGAATATAATAGTCATAATAGAGATTATTTCATAAATAGGATTTTTATCAATGCAACTTTAATTTAGATTAAGAAATTAATTAATAAAAATTATTATGAATAAAGAAATTAAGTATTTGTTATATAAATAAGAAAATTAAAAAAAAAACGATAATAAATAAATTTAAATATTTAACAACATTATAGTCATTTAAAAAATATCATTAAATATGTGATCATCCATAGAGGCAATGTTATTATAGATAACAGATAACTGTTTAATAAAATAACTGCCACTATTTCTTCAGCTGATTATAAATATTATTTTGCCATTAATAATATATTAATTGATGGTGGAGTACAAAATGTTAGAAATAACATAAACAACTAACATTAATCATCAATTATTTTCTAATTATGTACAAACATCACTAATAATAAACCTATTATTGGCATCAATAGTAATCTATTAAATACAATATATAATATTGTTGAATATTTTTCTGTTCTCTCTTAATTTGCAAAATATATTTAATATAGACTACTTCCAAGTATTAATAAAATAATTGGAGAAGTAGCTCTTGATATTGTTGAAAGAGGTACAAAAATTGCATTATAAATTATTTAGTTTTAAAGTAATGTATTTTATACAGTTGGAATACAAATAAAAATTATTGAAACTAAAGCAGCACATAAAGGAGCATTCCAAAAAGTCTTTTTTTATTAATCATTTTCATTTTTAGATGGTTATTATATACACAGAGGTAAATTCAATTAGTTTTATTATGGTATTGATAAATTTGTCATTTCTAAATCATTTTAACTATTTTCATGTTATTCTAATATACTACGTCCTATTGTCCATCTAATTGAAGTTACTACTACAGTTTAAATTATCACTGTTGTAACAAGTATTGCCTCTATTTATTTTTCTGGTTTACCAGTCATCAATGAAAACCAACCACTTAAACCATAACATAGTTATAATTGTAAATTAGTTGTATGAGGATTTGCAGAGGCTAATATTATTACAGATTTTAGTGATTTCTCTTTAATCCAATATTTGTTACTAAGTATTCCAGTTATATAACCGAAAATTAAGCAAAGTAGAGTGATTATTATACATGGAATATACATATAAATGGTTTCAAGTGTTAAACTCTTTAAAAAGTTTGTAAATATTAGAGCTGGAATAAATAAATTCTCAGTCAAACAGGATAATTAACTTGTCAATTGTTTATTGATGATTTGCTTGTGACTTAGATAGGCTCCAAATCCACTTATAAGAAATACACCAAAAGTAGTAGGAACAACTGCTTTTAACATTGGTAATGTTTACATTAGAAATTGAATTAATTTAAAAATAATTGAAAAATACTTAAAAAATACCGTGGTTAAATAAATTAATTATAATGACGAAATATAGTCTTATTTTTGCTTTGCTTTTAATTTGTTGTTTTGGAAAGAAAACTATATATGATAGATTACATGGCACTCATATTGAAGAAGAATTTGATAATGAAGTTATTACAGAGATTACAATGTATGATGAGGAAGATCCTAAATTAAAATATGAAAAAATGATGTATACATTTATGAAATTAAGTATGTAATTTATTATTATATATAGATGAAACATAAGTTATTGGTTGTAGAAAAACAGATCATCATGAATTTTTTGGAATGTTTTTTTAGAATGCTGGAAGAATAGGAAATGGTGGTTAAAATAATATTAGATTAATCAAATATGAAGATGATTGTTATGAATCTATGAGAGTATCATATGAAACTAATGAAGCAGAAAAGTATATTTCAATATAATATTTTTTATTTTAGTCGAGTTTGTGTTACATTCACTCCAGGAAAATATAAAAATAGTTAACAATGTTCTGAATTTTATTTGATTGGTACAACTTTGAATTACAACATTGTTAATATTAAAGATTGTAAATATTATTTATTTATATTATTTTAGAAAAAGAACATAGAGTCTATTTTAATTTTAGAAATCAAAAATAAATTGAAGCTTTCAAATATTCAGGTGCATATATATTTAGAACTTGTGATTATATAGAAAATTGGTTTGGCGATCTTTTAATGACAATAGAATTATTCTTTGGTGGATTTTCTAGTAATCCTTATTTAGGTCCAATATTTGGAAGGTAAAATTATATAAAAATATTAGTCATCCTCCTGATTGGATGGTAAGATCAAATATAGAATTAATAGAAAGAGCAACTGGTTATAGATGGTAAGAAAGACCTGATGTTGTTGTTGATTTAAAGGCAGATGAAGTAAATAATGGAGATTTTCTAGCAGTTACTAGATTTGATGGATTAGATTAAATTATAGAATGGGGAACTGGAGGTAGAATTGGACATAGTGCTA